CAGCGTAGCGAAGAAGGGCCAGCAGCTCCGCCGTAGGGGTGGCGCGCACAAAGTACACGTTGGGGCTCCACCCACGCACCACGCTCGACCCAGTGAACGGGGCAAAAGAGACGAGGCCATAGCGAGGCAAGACCGGAAGCACCTTCATCACGGAAGCGTAGCCAAACTGTGCCAAAAGAGTGAGGATGTCCTTGTCTTTCTCCATCGCGTCCTCCAGGACGGTGACAGTATTGTGCGATTTCGTCTCCCTTTCGACAATTTCAACCCGAACGTCGTCCGCGGCCGTGGAGTTGTGCGCCCTCAGCGAGGCATACACGCCGGCGTAAAACGGGGTAGCGAGCTTGGTGAATATGCCAAGATCAGTTTGCCTCAGCACCAGCAACTTCACTGGGGCGCCAGGAATTGCGGCTTGGGCGGCTGCGCGGTGCGGGGCGAACAGGAGCAGCAGAGGGAGGACGAAGACGACAAGGACAAGAAGGCACGGCGCCGCCGCAGAGGGCCGCAAGCCCAGCTGCGCACAGCAGCCGCGCCGCCCCCAACACACCGCCATAACCGCTGCGGCCCCAGGCGACTGCCTTGCTGTGTAGCCTGTGGATTCCTACAGCAAAGAAATGGAAAACGGGAGAAGGGGGAAAGAGGAAAGCGGTGCTGAAAGATGCCAGAGTGCAACAATGAACCACATCGCCCCACTTCCGGTACCAGAGCGCACCCTAGTAAAGCGTGAAAGCAGTTCATGGTACCTCGCCTTGTAAATGGTTTTATGTCGTCTCCGTAAAGGCCTCAGCCTGTGGGTGCCGCCACCTGCGTCGCAAGCCGCTCCTCTGTGAGAATAAAGCACAGTCCCGTGTCTTTCCGCACCGCGGCAGCGCTGGTCAGGAGTGTGATTCTGCTTGGCGACACCGATTCCACCAAGGCAAAGCCCACAACGAGGCCTTGGCGCAGACGCGCCTCAAATACGGCAAAGGGAACGCGGTGCAGCGTCCCGTCGGGCAGCTCCTCCAGCTCCGTTGCGGAGCTCAGTGCCAGGATCCGGTCCTTCAGCTCCACGTCCTGCGGCTGCACGTACGTCAGCGAGACGGGCGGGACCGTCGCCCGCCGCCCCTGCTGCGGGTCATCGTCGGCCATCGGCATGAAGGTCGACATGGAGCTTGCCTCGCCCCGCCCCACCGCCACGAGACGGACGAGCGAGAGACTGACGGTGAGCAGCGTGGGCTTCACGGCGGTGGTGCGGGTGCCGAAGAAGTACTGAAGCCAACGCTGGCGCCTGAAAAATACGTCGTCGTTGGCCACCCCGCACTCCGTTGCGTCCACCAAAAAAAGGTGGAGACTCATGCCGTTGGTGCACGTAACAGTGGCGGGCGCCACAAACGGCTTCAGCTGGGACCCACCCGCACGTTGCTGCACGCGCTGCGCTATCTTGAAGCGGAGCCACGCACTCCCCACCACGAACACGTGGTCGATGTCCGCCTCCGCAACGGCGTCCACCAAGACATCCAGCGGGTTTGTCTTTCGGTGCTCCTCCGGCCTCTCCTCCGAGCACTCCCACGCCTCCGCCTCCTCCACGAGGGAGCGGGAGACCGTCCCGTAGTCGACAAACACCCCGCCCACGCGGCACCGATCGCTGCGGGCCATGCGCTCCGTGGCCAGCCGCATCAGCTGGCGCAGCACCTGAGTGAAGAGCGCGGGGTCCTCGTGCCTCCCAACGCCCTGAAAGCCGTGCATGGCAGGGGCAAAGCACATCTCCTCCTCAATGTCCACGGTGTGCTGCATGGCGTACAGGGCAACGAGGCCGGGGTAACCGAAGCGGGGCGTCTCCGCCGCGGCGTCGAGAAGAAGCGGGTGGTACCCGAGTCGCACGGCGTAGTTCACTAGCGTCCGGACGTAGGTGCTCGTGCCGGCGGCGCGACGATCCGCAACAAACAGGACGCGGGGCCCCAACGCGTCGGCGCCGCCTCTTCGCGCCTTGACACGCAGCACCTCCAGGTGGGTGTTGATGTCCGCAAGGGAGCGGGCGTTCGTCGCGGCGCACGCCGTGGCGTAGGACGCCTGGAGCACCGCGTGCGGCGCCGAAACTACCAGCGAGCAGCCGGTGGGAGAAAAAACGCCAACGGAGCGGCCAGGGGGGAGGCGCACGGCAACGCCAGGCAAAAGCTCCGTCCCAAACACGTCCGCTCGAGGCCCGTCCGCACCCTCCTCCGCCTGCGGCTGCAGCGTGACAACCGTCGGCTCGTGGGCCCCCCTCGCCGCCGTCACGCGCAGCTCGCCCATCGCCGGCAGCGCGTACGCTCTCTCCGTCAGGGTCATCGCCCCGCCCTCGCTCTACACACAGGTCCTACGCCCGCCCAAAAGAGAGAGCAACTGCAAGGAGAGGAAGAAGCAGCAACCACCACTCGCCACACGGCGGCGGCGCAGGAAGCAAGCCACGGCGACAAACAGCCGCACCCAAGACACACAGCGAGACCAGAGGTGCGGGAGGAAAGTTTTCACGCCCAGCTGCGGTACCCTGACGGCAGCGGCGGGGGAGGGGCCTGCGGAAGGGGCACCACCTGCTCCTCCACCTGCCCGTCCACACCCACAACGGTGCGCCGCAGCAGCGCCGACTCGTGCAGCACGCGGGCGACGGCCAACAGCACGGACGGCTCCTTCTTCAGCATCGCCTTGATGTCCTGGTGCGTCGCGGGGTCGTCGATCTGCCGCCGCAGCTCCTTGATGATGCTGTAGATCTCCTCCGTGGCCATGTCGTTGATGCGCGACGGCGGCGTGGGTGGGGGCAGCGGTGGCAGCGGCACGTCGCCCACGCTCGACGCCCCACTGCTCGGCGACCGCCCGTCCCGCGAGCCCTCGTGCGGCTCCTCGTTGTCGTCAAAGAACATCCACCCCTCCTGGCGGCCCCGCACCACACACATGCAAGGCGGCAAAAGTGGAAAAGAACGCCAAAAGAAAAGAAGTCACCAAAAAAGGAGGAAAATAAAGGTGTCGGAGGCGTGGAGCGAGTTGCGGCCGCTGCCCAAAGGATGCGTACGCAACACCTGGCCGCAGGCACTGGCAAACAACAAGCACAAATACACACAGAGAGGGAGAGAGATAGATAGATAGATAGACTTGCAGAAACAAACCCGTGTTCGCTAGAGTTACACACCGATAAGTCAGAGAGGAGAGAGGAGGGAGGCGCTCCGTGGCTCCCGCTACAGCTGCACGGAATCAAGCCGTCCCGCACCCGACAACAGGCGGAGCGTGTCCGCGTACACCGCCTCGTCGTGACGAAGCGTCTCCGTCGACAAGTCCAACGCCTTGAGCGCCACATTGCGGTGGATGAGACGCGCAAAAGCCGCTACGCCCGACGGCGTGAAGGCATTGCCGCTCGCCACGAGGGTGTGCAGTGCGGCATTGCGCGAAAGCCCCTCGCCCACCCGCTGCAGCCCGGCGTCGGGCAGCCCGGTGTTGCACAGGCTGAGCACGTTCAGTGAGGCACTGTTCTCGAGAAGCACGACAAGCTCCGTCCAGCCTGCCGGCTCCACGGCGTCGCCCAGGCAATTCCCGTCAAGGTAAAGCTCGCAGATGGTCTTGCTGCGCACAAGGGCCGCAAAGAGCCGCATGCAGCCGGCGTGTGAAACGCCGTTGTCCGACAGGTCGAGGACGCACAGGGCAGGGTGGACGCCCACGGCATCCGCCACCAGCGGCGGCAGGAACCCCGTTGCCCGCGCCAGGCCGTTGCCGCGCAGGGAAAGCCGCCGCAGCGCGCGGTTGGACGCCACGGCGCCCCCAAGCGCGTCCCCCAGCCCGTCCTCCGTCAAGCCGCACTCGTCCATGCGAAGCACCTCCACGTGGCTCACAGACCGCCGGTCACCCAAAAAGCGAAACGCCGTCGTTGCCGCGCGTGCGTCGGCGCCGTCGCCAAGGGGGTTCGTCGACAGGTCCAGCTCCACAACGTCGTCGTTGGAGACCAGCTCCGCGTCCATCGCGCCAAGGAGTGCAAAGTGCAGTTTGCAGCGGCGGAGGGCGAGTTGGGCAATGCCACTGCCCTTGGCGACCAGCAGGGCCGCCCGCATCGACGGCGGCTGGAGGCCGGGGTTGCCGGAGAGGTCCAGCGACCGCAGTTGCGGAGACGCGGCGAGCGCGGCCGCGGCGAGCGCATCGACGCCCGACGGCTCAAGGCGGTTAAACGCGAGGTTCAGCTCCGCCAACGCGGTGCGGCCGTGCCTGAGCAGCTCACAGAGAGGGTGTACGGCGGCGTGCGTCAAGAAGTTGTCCTCGAGGCTGAGGTGCTCCAGGGGGCCCGGCGGCTGCGACCCAACGACGGGCAAAAGCGACTGCAGCGCCCGCGCGCCAATGCGACAGCCCTTCAACACCAACCGCCGCAGCTGCGTCGCCCCCGCGGCCAGCGCACCGCCGAGCTGCTCCGCCGCCGTGTCCAGCGGGATGTAGGCGAGGTCCAGCGTCCGCAGCCCGGGGAAGAGCGCGACCACCCCTGCGATTCTCGGCACGGAGGACGCCGACAAGAGCTGCCGCGCCGCCGAGGGCTGCGCAAGCAGCACCGCCGTGACGTCAACGTTTTCCCTCCACTCCCCGCGCGGCCCAGGCGGCCGGTACTCTCGGAGCGCAAACGTCAGGATCTCCGCAATGGCGGCAAAGTGCCTGTCGTCGACGGGAGGGTCGGACAGCGCGAGATCCAGCGCATCCAGCGCCGTGCCGTCGTCCACAGCCCGGTCCATCGCCCGCAGCAGTGCCGCCGCCGGGGCGCGCTGCCGCCCCAACTCATCGGGGCCCGTGCAGTACGACATGTACGCGGCCTTCATGCACTCCACGCGCGACCCGTACGGGGCGGGCGGCGGGCGGCCCACCACGGGGGAGTCGAACAGCGTCGGGCTCGCCAGCCCAGCACGCACACCCTCCGCGTCCACAACGTCAATGTGCGCCTCCTCCCGCACCCGCTGCGGGAGCAGCAGGTAGTACTCATTCAGCAGGTCCACGAGCTCCTTCGCCTGCAGCTGGCTCGTCGCGTAGAGCGTCATTGTGTGGGAGCCGCGGCGCCGCACCACAACGCCGGCGGGGCAACGCTCCCAGCCGGCAAGGTCAGGGAACGGGACCGCGTCGAGGCACTCCTGCTTCGTCGCACTGAACACAAAGAAGCCGTCCTCCGCCACTCCCGCGAGGAAGGGGCGGTTGTCACGGTCCCTCACGTCAAAGAAAGTCAACCCCCACCACGGCGTCGCGCTGAGAAGGTCGATGTAGCCGCAGCGCGCCTGCGCCGCGGTCAGCCCGGCGCGCCGTCGGTGGTTCCGCGCCAGCCGCTCCTGCCAGTAGTCGTAGGCGTGGGCCGAGACCGAGATGGGGAGGTACGCCTCAAGGCCAACCTGGTCAAAGTACAGAAGCGACTTCTGTGCCGTGAAGTCGCCAAAGACCGCCTGCAGCTCGTACGACGCGAGCCGCACCGCAACCGCCTCCGAAACTGGGTAGTACTCACGCACAACGTGCTGCTGGAGCTGGCGAAAGAACCACTCCTGCGCCACGGCGTCGTCCCAGTGCAGCGGCCGCTTGTAGTGCTTGAACCCAAAGAGCAGGACCGTCTGCGGCGTGACGCCCTCCTCCTCCAGCGTCGCGCCGTGGCTCAGGTAGCGGTGCACCGAGCCAAGCACGCCCTCCTCGTCGAGGAGCTGTGCGAGGTGGAACATGCGCCACCGCACAATGCCGGCGCGAAGGGCAACACGGGAAATCAGCATCGCCACCGTGTCGCTCGGAAAGGCGTCCACGCGCCGCTTGGTGCCGTCGACAAACTGCACCGCGTACGACAGCGCCACCTCACCCGCCCCTTTCTTCGCGGCGTCCTGCCGCTCCAGCCGGCGCCACTCCTCCTCGGCGCGCCGCGCCGCCTCCGCGTCGACACCACCTCTCCCCACGCCGTCCTCCTCCAGCTGAAGCCCCGCCTCGCGCGCGGCGCGCTCTTGTAGCAGCTCGCGACTCAGCGCATCGAGCGCCTCGCGAAGGCGCGATACCTCCTGCGACGCGTCAGCCTGCGTCTCCGCGGCGCCCGGCTGCGCCGCAGCCACCTTGTCGGACCCGCTTTCCACGCCCTCACGCGGCGGCGGCGGCGGACCTGCAGCCGCATCGGCACCTCCTCGCGGCGCCGCCGCCTCCCCATCCCGCGGGTTCGGGGACTGGCCTTGCTGCGGTGGCGGCAGCTCAGCCGCTAGCTGCTGGCGACACAAGGAGCAGAGCTGCGCCGCTGTGAGTCGCACCCTCTCCAGGGTTGACTGAAGCTCCGCGTGCAGCTCGCCGACGAGGCTTGCCTGCTCGACGAGGCTCTTGTGGTTGATGCTGTCCTTCGCACCGGTGTGGTGGGCCGACTGGCGGAGCAGCTCCTCCGCGCGCCCAATCGCGCTCCGCAGCCCCGCGTTCTGCTCCCCCACCAGCTCCACAACCCCCGTGCACCTCCGCACCTCCAGCTGCCCGTCGGCGAGCGCCTGCCTCGTCGTGCTTGCGAGCGCCCCCGCCTCGCCGCGGACACGAAGCAGCGACTCCGCCGTCGTCTTGAGCTCCTCGGCGAGCGCCTTGTTGTGCGCCGCCAGCGTGTCCACCTCGTGCTCGCTGAGACGGCGCACACGCTCCAGCTCGCCCTGTCGCTCCTGCGCCAGCCGCTGCAGCGCCACAACGCGCGCCGCCGCCTCCGCCTTGTAGTCCCACAGGGCGGCCGACGCCTCCGCCAGCGCCGCCTCGTGCCGCGCCACGTCGCCCCGGAGGGCGGCGGCGGCCCGCTCCTGCTCCGCCCGGGTGCCGCCGAGGTGCTCGCGGAGGGCAGCCAGCGAGCGGACCTGCTGGGCCTGCTGCCCCGCGGCGGACGAGAGCGCGTCAAACTCTGCCCGCACGGCCGCCAGCCGCTCGCCGCCGCCGCGCTCCTGCTCGGCGAGGGCGGCCAGCTGCGACTCCTGCACCTCCAGCCGCGCCGCCCGCGCCGCCCGCTCCCTCTCAAGGCGCCTGCGCACGGCCGCCACTTCGTCGCACTCCGCCCGCCGCACCATGGCGCCACGGCGTGCCGCGTTGAGTTCCTCCAGCAGCCTGCGCTTCTCCGCACGGAGGGTCTCGGCAACACGCACGAGCGCCGCCCGCTGCTGCAGTTGCTC